GCAATGTGGTTGCAAATGTGGAAGTTACAACTCGTGCCTCTTTTTGACAAGAATCTCATACAAACAAGATAAAGCCAAGTGAGGGAGAATCTCCAAAAGATAAGTTAGAAAACTATTCACATCTCCACATAGATTGTCTTACAATTATGTAAAACTACATAATTATACTTATAATTGTAATTTGACAGCACACATACTTGAACTCCTAATTACTTGACAACTTAACTTTCCCAAGATAAAAGGCATAAACTGCTCCATTATATTTCTAACAACACATAAGGTAGTTATTCAATGTAAAGAGCTCCCTTGTCAACTGATCCTAAAGATGCATTTGGATTGGGATTGTGCTTGCACCATTTATATACTAGTAATGGGCTCCTTATCATGCCCTCACTAACCAAAACCCGAGCACTCTAGACATCCGATGGCAGCAAGCAAGCTGCGACTGGTGACATGACTTCCAAGAACTCGACTAGAGAATATGGATCTTAAGGCTCAACAAACATATTGGGATCAACTAGAGGAAACGTGTCACTTGATTTGAACAAAACACTCGCACCCACACCCAAACCATTCTCATAGATCGCCATCACTCATTACTTGAATGGGAACAACTATCTATAGTAGTGCCAAAATGTTGTGATGGTAGTTCAAGGAAGGAACAAAGAGAAATACCTTACTGGTATCCCTTCTCCACCACCAATTGGAGATGTGAAATATGAAATTTGGGTTGTCGAGAATAATATGGTGATGGCTTGGTTGGTGAACTCCATGATAGTGGAAATAAGTGAAAATTATTTTCTTGCGAACACTACTAAGGATATTTGGAAATCAGCAAAGACTACTTACTCTATTAGAGACAACATGAATGCTATTTTCTCATTAAAACATTCCTTTAGCAGCCTTCTTCAAAGTGAAATATCTGTTACCTTGTATTATATTGATCTTATGAAATTCTAGCAACAAATAGATCTCTATAAGGTTGCAACAAAGATGGAATTTATTTTAAGAAATTAATTGATTGAGAACAATGTTATAATTCTTTGTTAGGTCTTAACGATTCTTAAGGATATCAAAGGTCAAATTATGAGCATAAAGCCTCTTCACAAATCATATCTCCCTAGGTTCCATGAACAACAAGTATAGAAGCATTGTTTGAGAGAGCATTCGGTACCGGGGAGTTTTGAGTCAAAATTGTTCTACTCCTCACAATATACTATGTTAAAGGTGTGACCATTGTAAAAGGTCTAGAAAATGGTGTGATCATTGTAATAAGGGTGGTCATACCATGGATGTTTGCTAGAACATACATGGCAAGCGTCCAAACTTAAAAACGAAGTCTAAGAATGAAGGAAAAGGACTTATGGTAGCTACTGCAGAATTTGAAAGGGCATCATTGAGCATTGAGGAGCTATCTGTTCTTCACAAAATACTCGAAACGCACACCACTCCTACTGCAACAAACACTAGTGGGGCAAAAATTGCTTCTTTAACCTTGGCACAATCAAGTATTGCCCTTACTAATACTCTTAGTGGGATAGCAACACCGAAAAATGTTTGGGTTCCTGATTCAAGAGCTACAAACCATATAATTGGATTCCAAGAATTATTTTCTGAATTTAATGAATATTATAAGCATAAACTTGTTGAAGAAGCTAATAGTGAACATGCAAAGGTCATGGGTTCCAAAATTGTAGTCCTTTTCGAACATGTTGTTTTGAAGGATGTCTTTTTTTTGTTCCAACTATCAAATGTAGTTTATTATCTGTGAGTTGTCTCATGACTCAAGTAAACTGCCTAGCAATTTTTGACAAAAATGGGGTTGTGATTTTCAAGACCTTGCCTTGGGCAAGGTGTTGCTAAGGAGTGAAATGGCCTCTATTATATCTAAGGATCCGCATCAAATAAATCCTGCATTGCATGTTCTACTATGACCAACGCAGATTTTGTTTTATGGCATTCTAGGTTAGGCTACCTAAGTTTTCAATATATGAAGTTTCTATTTCTTAATATCAATAATAGAACTATTTCAGATTTCCATTGTGACACATGCAATTTTGCCAAACAAATTTGAAACTCTTGCATCAAATTCATGTACTCCTGCTCATCCTTTTTCCCTTATTCATATTGATGTTTAGGGCCCATCCAAATTTCAGACAAACTCTAAGTCCCGATGGTTTGTAAATTTTATTGATGATCACACTCAGTTAACATGGTTTTTCTAATGAAAGATAAATCTAGGGTTTTCACTATTTTCAAAAAATTTCATGCCTTTATTCAAAATCAATTTCAAACTTCTATCAAAATTCTCCAGAGTGATAACAAATGTGAATATTTAGACTCAGGTTTCAAAACATATTTAGAAAACCATGAAATACACCATCAAACATCTTGTGCCTATTCTCAAAATGGTGTCTCCAAAAGAAAAAAATAGACATTTACCTGAAGTTGCTTGAGCCCTCATGATTGGTGGTAATGTTCCTAATAAATTTTAGGGAGATGCTATTCTTACTTTTGCCTACCTGATAAATTGTTTGCCCTCTAAAACTCTAAATTTTCAAACTTTAAGACAAAAACTTGTTGAGATCTATCCTAACTCACACCTCACTATTTCCATTCCAAAAAGGCTCTTTGGATGTTCAGCCTGTGTACAATGAAGGTAAGGGGAAATTAGACTCAAGTTGTCAAGTGTGTCTTCTCAGGTTATTCATCGACCCAAAAAGGGTGTGAGTGTTATTTTCCCAGTACAAATCATTTCTATGTTTCCATGAATGTCAAATTCATTCAAAACCAGCCCTTTTATCACAATTCACCTATTCAGGGGGAGAAAGAGATGAGTGAACAGTCCATTTGTGTAGCCAAGAATGATCATCAAATTCCTAATCTGGGACATGGACCTCACTTATTGCCTGAATTGCCTGCAAATACCCATCTAAGTCACAATAATTCAACCCTAGAGCCTCTAAACAATGTTGAAGTTAGTGAAACACAATCTCTAAGCATTGAAAATTCTTCGAACTGATCTAAATTTTAGGAGACAAATTCCTTTGAACCTCTTAATACACTTTCTAATTTAGCAACTCAAGTGAAAGAGCTAAATAATGCTGAGCAGAACCAAGGTGGAGAAGATCTGATTACCATACCAATGCAAAGCCATGAATCTGCACTTGAGGGAAGTTTTGAAGATTTACATTAGCCAATCACTTTAAGAAAAAGGGAAGAGAAGCTGGACGAGACATCTCATTGCCAGATATGTCTCATACCATAAACTAGCTTCTCATATGAAGGCTTTTGTGGCAAATGTTGAAAAAGAATATTCCCAAAAATTTTGATGAAGCCATGTCTGATCCTAAATGGAAAGAGGCTAAAGAAGAGGAATTAAGGGCCTTACATAGAAACAGAACATGGGAAATCACTGATTTTCCTGAAGGAAAATCGATTTTGAGTAGTAAATGGGTCTTTACAATAAATATAATCCGGATGGGAGTGCAAACAAGTATAAGGCTCGCTTAGTCGCTCGGGGCTTTAGTCAAGCATATGTGATTATCCCAACTTTTGCTCTTGTTTACAAACTTAACTTTGTAAAATTTTTATTGTTTCTTGCTACTAATTTAGATTGGCCTCTTTATCAACTTGATGTTAAAAATGTTTTCCTCAATGGTGATCTTGAGGAAGAAGTGTATATGGAAATTCTCTTGGACTTTGAAATTCTAGCAATTCTCTCAAGGTCTACAAGTTGATCAAGTCTTTGTATAGATTGAAATAGTCACTAAGGGCATGGTTTGAGAAATTCACTTGAGCTACTAAAGCTTGGGCGTATAAACAATGCCAGGCAAATAATATATTATTTGTTAAATATTGTGGTGATAAAGTAACAACTCTCATTGTGTATGTTGATGAGATAGTGTTAATAAGGAACAATGAAGGGGAAATCTCTAGCTGGAAAACAACTTAGCAATAGAGTTCAAGATCAAAAGTCTTGGGCCTTTAGGATATTTCTTGGGCATAAAATTGGCAAGGACTAAAAAGGGATTAGTGTATCACAATGAAAATATATCTTGGATTTGTTAAAAGAAACAAGGATGCTAGGAGTTAAGCCTACAGATACTCCAATGGAGCTAAATCAAAAACTCACCATCTTTGCTTTCTTGTAAGTGTAGTCAGCCAATTCTCATGCTATGCTCAAAAGGAACATATGGCCATTGTCTATAGGATACTAAGGTACCCAAAGAAGACTCTTGGATTGGGATTGTTCTTTGCAAAAAGGTGCCATTCGAGGCATAGAATTATTCATGAATGCTAATTGGGCTGGCACAAAAGTAGATTGATGATTGACTACTAGTTATTGCTCCTATGTATGGGGCAACTTGGTGACTTAGTTCTATTGAGTCTAAATATAAGGCAGTTGCCCTAGGAACCTGTTAAGGGATGTGGATTTTAGGCTCTTGAACGAACCTAAGATTGATTCAATTGGACCTATTAAAGCATGGTGTGATAATATGTTGGCAATCAAGATTGCCAATAATCCAGTGCACCACGACCATACAAAGCATGTGGAAATTGATAAGCATTTCATCAAAGAAAAGCTGGAAACAAAGGTTATTGATTTATCATATATACCTTCAAGACAATAGATTGCAGACATGATGACTAAGCCACTGACTCAAGAAAAATTTGAAGCTTTTAGAAGCAAGCTGGGAATTATCAACATCTACTCGCTTGCTTGAGGGGGAGTGTTGGATATGAGCTCATGTTCATTATTGGGCTTGGGCTTATTATCTCACTTAACCTAGTTTTATTTCTTTTTAGTCTTCTAACGTTATTTTTCCTTTTCTATTGTATTTGTTATCTGCCCATATATTAGGGTATTTTTTTCAGAATATTTGAGGAGAGTTTTTAGGGTTTTCTCTTCTGGCTGTCTCCCTATATGTATTCCGTTTCAGATTGAATAAAATAATAATCATTCAGAAAAACTTACGCTTATTATTTTTTAAAACTAGCATGCTGCAGATGAGAGAATCAGATTGGAAGAATTACGTCAAAAGGTAAACCTTTTCATGTTTAATATATTCAAAATATCTCTCCGTCCTCACAACCTTGCTTAATGTGTAGGTATTATCAGGAGAAGCAAAGACAATAAATTATCTAGATGCTGAACAGGAACTGGTATGGGTCCTATGTCATGAGAGGATCTTCAGAACACTTTCACCTGCCATGTTTTCTGAAGTTTGAGATTACTATGTGATAGAGCCCCTCATTATTTTACTAAGACTTATCAAAGGAAGTCAAAGGGGAAGAATGACTCTAGTAGAATAATGGTGACTGGTCCAGAGGTTTATCCTTCGGTCTCTAGCCGTAAGGAACAGTAGCGTGGGATCTTTGACCATAACTAAGATCTTTTGGGAGGTATGGGCTAGGGGGGAAGCCATGCTGTCCATGCTGTGGGTATATTTTATCTTTTTGCTTGTATTGTGGGGATATCCGGGGAAAAGAAGAGAAGGGAGAGGAGAGACTGGCCTCTCGAATGCCAGAAGGAGCTTGTAATGTTGTTACTTTTGTGATCATTCAGGGGAGATAGGGTTTTGGCCAGAATCAGAGGAAGACTTGTAACTCTGATTCGGTTTCTCTCAATTTATTAATATCAAAACCTCAGCATTTTCCCCTCATTTATTGTTATTATTGTCTTTATTGCTGTTTCTGTGGAGATATTGGTTCGGGTCATATTACTATGTTACAATGATTCCTGATACAGGTGCTGCCTGAGATTGGCTATCAACTGTTGCACAGTTATTCTGAACAGATTAAAGATTGGGGATGGATCTGTAACGTTCATGCTCAAGATTCAAAATCCTTCAAGCAGTATGTCTAGCACAAATTCACGATGATCTTGATAACTGATATTAAATGATAATTGATACTCTTTGTGTTATTTATAATAAGACTTCTATTATTCTGTTAAGGAACCAAGATAAAAGGACGCTTTTTTCATGGCATTGTATAGATGTTCTAATAACCTAATAACTTGTGATTTGGTCTCAAATCAAATTGTAGGCTGCTTTTTGTGTGTTATTATTCATAATGTGGACTGCCTTGGCAGGAATTTGGATATTCTCAACAAGCAGCCAGCTGTTGTTGCACTTATTGCGGTGAAAAACTGCCATCTCCTTATTTATTTGGTTTTAAATTGCTGGAAAATGTCAAAACAAATATTTTAGCATCTTTGTAGTATTGTCAACTTCAATAGTAAATTGAATGTGAAAGTATTGCTATAAGCTATGTTTTCTTTTTATGTCACTGATGCTAGCTAACTATGAGCAATAGCAGGTACCCTGCATTTTAGGTGTCAACTTAAATGATATTGATCTTATGGAATTTCTTCAGCAGGTTAACTAAATAACACCTCTGCCTTTGAGTTTTCCTTCTTTTATGATATGTGATTTTACATTTAATCTCTTTACGTTTAGCTTGCTGACACGGATGGGTCATCAACAGTGCCACCGTCTGTTGTACGAGTTCTTAATTTGAAAGCATGCAGAGGTATGTGCTTTGTCTCGGTAGCTATTGCAATTTCATGCTCGTGAGCTTGGAAATCCTGAGGTGTGCTTACAAGGTCCTCCATGTTGGTTGGTCGTTTCCTTGGAAGAGTGGAGGACTCTGGGCATCATCTTGGCTTTATGCGCAAGTGCAATGACATCTTGATGATAATAACGTTAATGTTAGCATTTATTGGCGGCCTCTTGCAGTCATCGATACTGTTAATTTTATGAATACTTAATTGTGAAGGTGCAATTATGTTTGGGGACTCATTGCTGCCATCCGAATGTTCGCTCATTGTTGAAGAGCTAAAGCAGACGTCACTCTGTTTCCAAGTAAGGTGTCCTAAATGCTTCCATGTGTCCAAGTGCATTTGGGGAAAAGGGAGGCCCTTGTTGACAAAATTTGAGGACTTTGTCGTGCAGTGTGCTCACGGGAGACCAACTACTGTTCCTCTTGTCAACCTGGAGGCGCTGCATACTCAGATAGCCAAGCTTGGACCAATGATCGGTTGCTCAAATGATGAGTGGCATGGACTACGAAGACACAAAATTAGCGTTGAACGTGCTGCACAACGCTCATGTTCCTCTGGAGAATAGTGTCTTGGCAAATTGAACGGTAAGTTCGGAGAGCAGAGTTTGACCGGGAAGTTATACTTCGTGTTGCAATTGAGTGTACAGAACAGATAAAAACACCCTCGCAAAGGATTCCTTTTTCTCTGAATATGATTGTGGTCAATGAAGACCTGCATTCATAGTGATGATTAGTTGATTACACGATATCGGTTGTGCAAAGGAAGTCTTGAGGTGCAAAGAAGAATTAAACATAATTAAAGTTGCGGTTTTTAATTCCAAATCTATATGCCATACTCTGTTCACTTGCTTCTAGACAATATTGGTCGGCATTGATTTGCATTAGCTGCTAACTTTTACTGCGACAAGAATTATTGTTATTATTATTTTTGGGTTGTACAAGGCAAGACAAGCTTGGAAAAAAAAAAAACAAGAAACAAGCTAGCATAGTTCCTGTCAGCCATACATGTCTTAATCAGATGTGCAGATTATCTTGCGCAGAATGCTCATGAAATGGGGCCAAATACCCAGCTGATTCAGTGTTGTCCTTTGGAATGCTTGTTAAAACTGTTAAAATTGTTAAATACCCAGCCAGGTTGTTAAAACTTCAGCCGTATATTTTTTGACCAAATGCCTGTGGGGGTGACAAGGTCCACAGTCCCGAAAAATAAGATTCCAGGCTTCCTGATGACACATGGATGGCTCCGAAGTTTTCTTTATGGCACACTTTTGAAGACCCGTTTGAATAGCGATGAGTTCAGCCATAGTGATTCACGTCGTACCTATGCTTCCTTGGAGTCCTAAGATCCATGCCCCTCACGACAAGAATTATTTGAAAGCCTAAAAATATGATAATACATAACAGATGTGTAACAGTAACACAAAAAGATGCCCAACAATTTTGAGAACCTAAAGTATAGTGACACATAAAAGATGCCTAACAATCAACATACACATGCATGCATGCATGTGGATGAGTAACAATAGCACATAAAATAAATATAACACGTACCGAAATCTAAGAGCCTAAAATATACTAATACATAAAAGATTCTAAACAATGATCTGAATAAACGCAAAATTATAACTTGTAATATTGAGGAATGAGATTGTCAAAATTAAATCTGCTTCTCCCGGGAGTTTTTATAAATTAAAATTCAATTTTCAAAGGATTATAACTTCACCTTCGCAAGGTTAAATTAGTATATTTTGAATTTGTTGCTGTTCGTCGATGAAAAATATAAAATCACGAAGATCCAATTGTGGTTTCAAGAAATGTAAACAATATGTCTAAAAAGTATGAGTACTGCCTTATTTTTATAATTAAGTTTTGATTTTTAGATCAGTTAACTATTTTAGGATGGGAGTTTTAGGTTATTCTTAAAAATTATTATTCAGACACAATTTAATTCCCAAAAAATTTAAAATATAAGAGTCATCATAGGTATTTAAAAAAATGCTGAAAATCCTATATTTTATATTAAAATAATAATTTCTCCAGATATAAATGAAAAAATATTTAAAAAAAAGCTAAAGTTGATTTTTTAAAATAGAAAAAAGTCCGTACTCATTTGTCATTTTTTTTATCCGCGTCCAAGTTGAATGATTTATAATCGCGTGAGGTTAAGTTTCGAGTTTTGATTTACATAAATAATTATTGAACTTCCAATTTTAAAATTTAATAAAATGTAGATGCTCATTCGCAGTCAAAGTAGAAGTTCTAACTTGCAAGAAAGCTAAAACGACTTAAAGTCGTCGTGGTCCCCATTGGTGTTTGCTTCATCTCGCACTCTTCCTCTTCCTCATATTTTGTTTGTTGGTTTCTTATTCGATTCAAATTTAGTTCTTATACTCTTACTCCAGATATAACAAAAAAGAAATGCAATCAAATAATAAGGATTATAAATATTATTAACACATGCATAATCAACACTCACGCAGACATTTGCATGTGCACTTTCACATATAGTCTCCCGCATATCAGAAATGGAGGGCCGGTACGTCTATTCAGTTTACTTTGTGATTAATTAGCTGATTCTCAGTTCAAATTAATCATTCAATCACCACATGTCCAACTTATACTTGATTTTGTCGGTTAATACTAATCACTGTTCTTCCTTTTCTCTTGGCGTTCTCAGTTCTTAATTATACCACTAAAGGCGACGTCATGAGAATGAAGGTTCAACTTTGATTCGTTAAATTTAAAAATCATGTCAAATACTGTAAAAAATTAAAATTAAAAATTTAAAAATATGCAAAAGTAAGAACATAATAGTTTTGTACTTTTATGTTTTCACTGGTTTAAGAAAATGATACCAATGCAGTGAAAGGTTGGTTCATCAAGAAGAGGTTAGATGACAAGAAAATAGAACTTAAAATCTTATATCTAAGCAGGTCTCCACGCCAACTATAAAGGCTGTAAAATTATGAGAGCATGGTTTGAAAGCACACTACTAAAAGCTATCATAAAAATCTATACTTAGCCCCATGTTTAGAAAATATAAAGGGAGATTTTTAGTTAAGGACCACAATAGAGATTTAATTTTTATATGAGTTCAAAAAAAAAATTAAAATTTCAATTCAGTTTAAAGGAGAAAAGTCAAAAAAATTTCGATGGTGAAAAGATTAAAATACCTTTCACTTATTATGCAAAATCATTAATTGTTAATTTTTTTATTGCACTTATTAATTTAACAATATCGTTTAGAAATTACATCCTTTTATTAGACAATCAATAATATTAGTTGTTAATTTATTAACTTTACTTATTAATTTATTAACATCAGTTGTAAATTACAAAACATCTCGGTAATTTATAATTGATATTAGTAAATTAACAAGTAAAGTTGGTATTTTGATCTTTTCAACGTTAAAATTCTTGTAATTTTTTTCTCCTAAACTGAATTAAAATTTTAAAAATTTTTTAAATCTATCTAAAATTAAATCTCAATAGTTATCCTTCACTGAAATTCTCCTAAATAGAAAACACAAGTACATGAAATCACCATTAGTCTCTCGTAAAAAAGGGGAGAGAAAAAAGGGCAAAAGAGGGAGGGTTGGATCTGTGCCTCAATGATGCAGGTCTCAACCTACTGATTTGACATGGAAAGGCAATTATAGATGCACGCTAAAAAGATCATAAGCCATTATTGTCATGTTTCGGTTTGATCATCTAAACAAGTTATTATCCTGCCGACAGAAACGTGGGACTGCGAAGACCCTCATCCATAACTTATTACCAAACCTCTTTTTGCAATCAAGTAAGCATCCAACTGGAAAAGGCATACCAAACCAGGGTCTGGGGCCGTTTTAGCAATAATTATGTACCCGTACTTTGTTCAATGAAAGTGAGACTATAACATCTTATAATCCTTACTGATTGGGAGTTTCCAAGGAAAGTGATTAAAAAATCCCCACAATTGCATTATGGAAGAAAGTACAGTGCAAGGCCAGGTCATAAAAGCAACACCTATTATACACTCGAGAACGCGGAAGAAATCATATAATCCAAATCAATTTTGTGCTTACAAAAAATATCCTAATAACAAATGCCACTCATGTACAGTATCAGTATGTATTACGACAACTCCTTAGCTCGCTGCTCTCTATATCGAGCAGTCACACCAAAATTCACACACCCCCCTCCCCCAATGCAGCACCAGATGAATTAGACAAAATTATGTTTTCGTTAACACAGGAAATCATCTATAAGCCTTCTTTTAATGTATGAGATTTTACTTCGCACTGCCTCTACGAGCATATCATATCTCTTGTGAGTTCTTCAACCAGATCTTCAGTAAGTAGACGTTCTATCTCTCTTTCCAGTATATTAACCTCGTCATCTGACAATCCAACCCAGGGGTTGGATCCCAGCTCTCTGGCCACCAACGTATCAAGTGAATCAGAAGTTATGTCAGACGGTGGATATAAAGAAACTCTGATGATTTCCCATACTAACTTCAAAAGTTCCTTCCCACGTGGTGACGGCAGTATGGAGGAAGAACTGCATAGTTTCCTTCTGAATCTAGACAACGTTAAAGGTGGTCCAAGAACAATGAAAAGTGCTTCATTTAGCAAAGCATGCAATAGTTTGTGCTCTAACTTATTGTCACTTTGATCCTTGGTAGAAGTTTCATTCTCCTTGAACATTTTTTTGAGAGATTCCTCCACTTCTTCAAAAACTGAGTTCCCAATAGGCTTTGCAAATGTGTCCCCTTTTAATAAGGATTTATCCCCTGAACCGAAGTATAGACCAGAGGCAACAAGCAGATCTCTTATGTAAGATTCAGCTGGATCCTCTAATTGCACCAACTCAGATTCTTTAGGCTCCTGTTTGACCATTAATTCCATGGGGCCATCAGACTCAAGTTGAGTTATCTGCCTCCTTAACTCTGTTTGATCAACAGCAAAACAAAACAAAACAAAAAAAGAAAGAAAAAGAAAAAAGAAACTGTAAGCAAACATTTACCATCTCTCAACCAGCAAGAAGGTTAGATGTGCTGAATTGAGAAAACAGAATACAAGTTGGATTTTCACTCTCTCAATTATTTCATCTAATTCACAAAATCATGAGACTAAAAAATAAATAAATAAATTTCATGATCTTAATAAAATTTTACTTGGCTAATTGTCAGCAAGATGAATCAAGTAGCCTCTACTTAAAAAAATAAAAATAAATCTTGTCTTGTTGCAGGGACATACCAACTGAACATTTCCTGTTCCTTACAATGGTTTTCTATAACTTATACGGAAGATGGAATCCAGATGTAAGCACGCACATTAAAGGTCGTGAATTCAACAAGAAAGTTGTAATTAATAAAAACCCAGTACCCCATGATAGAAATTGAGTAGCACTTCAAACAAGTTATCTAAATATGAAAACATTTAGCCAATTAATTATGAAATCAACATCTGATCTACTAGAACTCTTTGAGATAGTTTGTTGACAAAACTTCCTGTGCACATGCAATACATGAAATAAGTCTATCCATCTATGATATCGTTGCACAATGCATGAAAGCTTGAACTTTTGTTATTTTACCATTCAAACCAGAACTAATTTCTCTAAAAGCCTCTGGCACAGCATTATCATCTCCTGAAGATACATCTGGAGTTGATATTGGACTTAAGTATTCAGCTCGCTTCCATAGCTCTTCCTGACCATTGCTGCATACAGATGCAGGACTGGGAGGTACCTCAGTGGAGTTCTCCTAAGAGCATATGACAGAATATTTAAAGATTAAATGATAATCAATCATGAAATATAATTGACAGAAAATGTCCTTGTAAAGAAACAATGATAAAGTGTATGATGAACTCACATGCCTCTCACCCCAATTCAAAAGAACTGTTGGTCTGCTTGTGACATCGACCATCATGGGACCATCTTCATTGCTATGTGATTCCACCATTGATTGAAACTTTTTTCCAAACAGCTTCCCTCTTAGGACAAGATTATATTTAAAGCTGGAAACCTTTTCTTTAATGTTAAATCTATCCTTCTTTTTCTTTTCAACATCAACAGACACAGTTTCAATAGCTTCAAGCTTCCTCCGAATTTGGGCACCAGTTAAAATATGGCGGTCCTCTAGAAGAAGCTTTCCAAATGACGTTCCTGATACAGGAGCAGACAAGGATCTAACAAGGTTTCTAGGGGACAATTCTTTGGGGAGCGATATATTATCAACATGTTCACGCCTGAAAGAGCCTGTTTGCATTTCTTTTTCCGCTTTAGAAATTTCCCAGTGGTTCAAATCATTTGAATTCATAACATCATCATCCTGTTTTAACCTGTCATTGTGATTATCTAAGAGATATGACCTTGAATTCCCACGAGTCACTTCAGGAATATCAAGATAATCTTTGCTTTTTAGAACATTTCTCAGCCTCTCTGACAAGAATCTCCTGGTATCTCTCTTGATAAATTCTGGGGAACTTGATCCATTGAACTGAATTTCACTTCTGTGTGATCTTGTTGATTCTGAGCGGAGCAAATTTCTTGCAACATCTCTAGTCACACTTTCTCTGACCTGCTTTGCTATATTACGTGCAATTTGTTTAGGATCTGATGGCTTTTCATTGTAAGGTGTCTCAATCCCACTTCCTCGAACCACATAACCCTTTTTAAAAGTTTTCCCCTCCAGTTCACATTTTAGCCGCTCTCTGACCTCTTCAAGAAAATCTTGTATGCTATTTCTCCCTCGTATATTGCTGGATGGATTGGTCCAATTATCCTCTTGGCTGTAAATCCTATCAGGACCGGGCTTCAAGATTACTATTCGAGTTGGTGAAGAACTATCCATTTGACCGTTCGATTTCATCATTAAGGATTCCTCAAAGTCTCTGCTTAAGGTTCTGCTCCTTGAAGGAAAGGTTTCTTTGCGCTTGGTAGGAAATAACTCCATGGTATTACCATGATATTCTGGACCTCCATTATTTGGTAACTCTGTTGCCAGCCATTGTGAAGTTGCACGATCTGCCATCTTTTTCTTGTTCATGCCCTCTCGTGTGAGCAATGGTTTGGGGGTATTGCCAACTTCAACAACCTTTGAACACTCCATTAACCTTGCCGCTTGAAATGCCTCAAATTCTTTCTTGAACTTCTGTAGTTCCTCTTCCTGAGGATGTTCCCGGGGCTTTGGCTTTCCCAAATGTTGGTTCCATCCATCATCATCATCTACGTCTTGGTAATAAGAGTCAAATTCCATGTGACTACAAGAATTTGAGTTGCTAGAACCCCAACCACCCGAACCCCTTCCATTCACTTTCTCCTCTAAAAACTTCTTCTCCATGCTTCCACTTTTTATTTCATCTGATGGAACTGCAGATTTAGCATCCGATGGCATCATATCTATACCCATCAATCTTGCCACAAGGCTCGGTGCATTCGATTTGGTGGTTGGTCGTTGGCATAGCTCATCATTGATAAGTTTCTTCACTGAAACTGCATCTGAAGGACAAGTATTCTCTGACAAGTTTTCTACTTGATAATGATACTGAAAAATTTAAATCAAAGTTAGTTGCTGTAGATAGCACTCTAGGTCAAGGGAAGAGAAAGAAAGACGATATCATGAAATATACAAACCGATTGTTATTAGATAGAAGCACAATGGAGTCTCATGAAGTTACGGTCACATTTGTGAATAAAAGGTCAACTGAAAATATGACTGGAGTGAGTGCCATCACAACCAGAACTAGCAGAAGATTTTGCAATAAAACAATTTTATCATTATTTTAAGTGATGGGACTGATGAAATGACGGGTTGATAAAACTCCATCATCTCAATGGCACATAAGCTAGGACTACATAGAACACCAACTACTCTACAATTTTAGAATTGTAATCTGGATATCGAGATTTTTTTTTTTTTTTTAAACCATGGCCAGGTCTAATACACGTGATGTCATTCCCCCAGAATGTTAAGGGATGCTCGTCAAAAGAAGGTTGCCAGACAAATTTGCAAAATCAAATTTGCGACAAGATCCACAATTAACAGGTGTTGTGATAGTATTAACATGGCAAGCATGTGAAGAGACACTTACCGGTAATTCTCCTTGCGCGCAATGAATTTGAGATGCTTCAGCTTGAAGCTCCAGGCTATTGCGAGGAGGTTCCAGGCCTGCAGAGCACATAATAAGAAAATGAGCAGCATTCAATTTAAATCAATCTAGCGGAGAAGGCAGGAAACGGATTTGTGATGAATTTTTTTGACTGTTGAGCAAGATAGTCCTAATCTCAGTCAGACAAAATTAATAGATGTCCTTCAATAGTACGAGATAAGGTGGTTTAATCAACACTCACCACCATGATGTCTCTTGTGGGCATGAACTTTCTTGGCCATGCTCCCGTGATTGAACTCAAAAATGCGCAATAAGCCTCTCATACAGACAGAAGGTCAGCCGAAAGACTCTCGGGTCGAAACTTCTGCTTCCATATCTCACCCCACTAAAATTCAAGACGATATTTTATTTCTTCGCATGAAATAAACCATCGCATCCCACAAGATACCCATGTATCAGTTAAAAAGCAGTTAGGAACATAAAACCAAAATCAAGGCATGTTGAAGCTTGAGAAAATGTGTTCGTGAAGTGATTGAAGTCCCAATTAAACGGATTTGTGCATTTAGACGTCCGTGACGGATGGACAACCAATCCTGCCATGTAGAACAGAACTAGCATAAATTATTCAATAAATAGCATAGTCTTAGGTAAAGCATGCAAACCGATTTTCCAATAGTAGACAGAAAGATGAAAATTTGAGCAAAATTTTGAACTATGAACAGGCCATTTCAACAAAATCTGATAACTTTAGACTTCTCCGTGAACAGCGAAGAGCAAAGGGCACTCAAGTGGTCTAAGCATGATCAGGGGAAACGTTGGAGGCTAAAAGTGAGTCGGTCACAACTGAGTTTACAGCCAGCCTTGTTTTTAAGATTGCTCTGCTCAGTAAGAAAATGCTTTAAAATAGATGATCAGATTCATATGAGTGTCAATGGTCGGTTAGAAAACAGAGAATGTTACGTACCACAGAGAAAAACCAGAAAAATGTAATGACAAGTAAGCCTTCAAACTTTTGATCGATAAGCCAGTAGGTGGTTATGGTTGAAGAATGTCTGAGCTCGATACAAGTGGAGAAAAATTCAGAGGGGATTGAAAGTTGAAACTAACAAATCCCAGGAGGGAGAGAAAACTTTGAAAGAATGGAAATCGACAGCGACGATTCTGAATAAAGCGGAGACCCAGAAATAAGAATAATTAACAAATAATGATGACACCGGAAAGAGCTATGATGTTAATGTAGAAAGAAAGTCCTGTGAGGCCACTGCTGGGAACGAGTGAGAGAAAACGAAGCGCCTGTCTCTGGACTTTGCCACTTTCTTTTTTGGTTAATCATTCTTTTCTTTCCATTAGTTTCTTTTTTATTTTTTACTGGATAAAATTCCAAGCTGTCTGGCTGGCTCACTTGATGAATGGCCTGTGGAACATAGCTTGCACACTAGAAGCCATAGGTGTGCCCAGAATAATAAAAAAGAGGATTCAAAAGTTGTGGAAAAGTATCAAAGATCTTTTTCCAGCTGTTTATGAAGTACTCTCACTTGGAGGGGTTTAGAGTAATTCAAATCAGTAATAACATGTATGATGTGAAATTATTATTATTTAACCAATAATCAATTATTAATAATACAGTCTTTCTTGTGTTGCTAATATGACTTTACAAAAAAATATATTCTATATAGATAGAACAATTCTTTATAACCCATGAAACCCAATTATTTAAGGCTTAAAATTTTTATCAAAAGACTTGAGGTTTAAGAAATATTTTTTTGTTTTGTTAAAGATTTTTGAGAAAAATGTGTCACACGTCTTTATCATAATGTGATAGGAGATGAGATAAAAATTAAATTTTTATATGTCATATCTCAAAATCATTAACCACTACCTTTGTGATACTAATAATGAAGGTTTCAACCTTATAGAATTTTTTTGGGTGATTTTCACCATTACCTCTGGCGCAAGTGAACCTATCGTCAATAGTACCTTGGTATGTATAGACGATATTTTACTCTTTTCATAAACTGGACGGGAATACAAGAATCAAGTAGCACAATTCTCCAAAATAATCTATCGCATATGGGATTATGCTCTGGACCCGCAAAAGTCACATTGGTGTAGCCTTTTAACAAATATACTAATATCTCAAGTATCTTAAAAATTCAACAATCATGAATAAATTAGAGATCAACTCCTTTAGTTTTGTTGTAAAAATCTTGACCAGCTTCAAAATTTATCTCCTTTATAAAAAAATAAAGAGTTTTTTTTTTTTATCAAACTTCCATTCAAAACAAATAAAAAATATTAATCTTACAAGAGCATGCAACCTGGCATAAATCCAAAAGACATTACTTTGGCACGGTAAGAATGCGCAACTTTATTAAAACAAGTTAATAGAGTTTTTTATATACATCCTAATCTTTGTTAGTTCTATATATTCTAGATTGAACCAAACCAGCCCATTGGACTGTGATACGATGAATTGGCCATGTATTCAGTCCGGTTGTGCGAATTCATTAAGAGTTACTTAACTCAAGTTAGGTTGGGTGACTAAAATTAACCCATCCAACTCCATGAGTCAAGCGAGTTAAATTTTTTTAGCTCTAACACCCTTTGTGGGTGTCAAGAAAATTTAAAAAAAAAAAAACTTAAGGTCAAATTAGACAATGTTCTCTGCCTCAAGAAAGGAGATAAAAGAAAGAAAGAACACGAGACAAAAAATGAGCAATCATTTAAACCTTATTTTTTAGCTTTTGCACTTTTATTTCAACCACAATGACTTAAATTTGGATTGGAGAAATGCGGTTGGAAGAATTAGAGATGAAAACGTAAAGAGCTCAAAAATGCTGCCAGAAAATGCTTAACCTTCAACTGAAAAAATGAGAAGTTGAAGAAAGAGGAGAAAGGCAAAAAAATGAGATGGCCAAGTACGTGAAACTGAGCTTTTGATAAGATAGGATGTCCAGGTTGCTTGGCAAGGTTAGGAACTTAAGATAGGATAGAGACAGGTAGCTATAATTTTAGGTAAAATAAAAAGAAAAGAAAAAGGACAATAATTCAAATTTTAAAACTGATGTATGCTCACATTAATAAAATAAAAAGTTATATAATTTTTTATGAGAATAAAAAAATTATATCCATTTACCATTTGATTTTGTTACTTTAAGTATGTTTTTAATTATTCAAACAACGTTAAAATGTTCAATCTATTTAAAAATTAAATTAAACAAATTTTAAAATATAATTTTATTTGTTATGATTGACTCCGGATTGACCCTTGATCTAACCCCGGTTGAACCCCTGACCCTTGAATCCTAATTTTAATCAGTTCAATGATCAATTCAATTTTTGATACCTTAGTTATAATAGGACATTTGGTGTTAGAGGGGACATAGGAGTATTTTCCGGTCTATAAAGTTGCTACAACAACATCTTCTTACTTCACGTAAGAAAGGGGATAAATTGATGGATCACATAATATTAATAGTAACCTATAATAATCTCTAATCCATAAGAACCCCCAATTTGAGGGGAAAGGTGTTTTAGGATAGGGACAATCTTGAAAGGTTCATTTAAGTGAGAGTTGTTGGGTTTATAAAATTACCTCATATCATTTCATTTGATGTATTAGTTTCTATTTGTCTTGTTTAATGGACATTGGAGAATAAAAGAAATTGAGCCTTGGTCATATTGTTCTTTATGAGTTTATAACTTATGTAACTCTTGACATTTTAGGGCATGAAAACCCATTATGTTGTGAGCCCAATATTCCATTGATAATGGTTTTACTGGCGGGATGGATAAATCACCTGAATATGGAATTTATATTTTCATCCACATGCAAAGGACATTTACGGGTAAATTAGTGACATATTTTGGGATATTGCAAGAGTCTTTTATTCTTTGTGATTATGTGCCTAATCCAATCATGACATGTCTTATTTTGGAATTATATGTGAAGATATTATGTTGATAATGAATTTTACCTTATAGGTATGTCATTATCAATGTAATTTGTGTTCAATTTTTTTTTGTGAATTATCTATAAATACTATATTTGTAATTGACACTCTCTGTAAATGAGAGATTACTATTATTGATAGCTGGGCATTTATTTGGTAAGTTTACAAATATAGGTTTTGATTTTTTGACGTTTCTTGTACCTTATAAGTATGGTGAAATTAAATAAATTTTGTTGTAACCATTCCAATAAAGCTCTTAATTCATAACTGAATTAGATGCTTGATAATATAGTGTTAGAAACAATATAAGGCAAATTATTTGTATTAGGCTGAAAATCATAAGATCGATCTTCGTTTGAAGAAATTTAATCTTAAAATCTATTAAGTGATTCATTGTTTATTATTGCATAGGATTAAGAAGGTGCCAACTTTATTACTTACTATCAAGTAATTAAATTTGAATCTTGCTTTCAAATAAATAATGAGAGTTATAAGCCTAGACCATTGACTTACTTGTTAAGAGCACCTCTACCTTAGCATGTTTGTCCATCAACTTCATTTGATGAGGATGAGGTTGTTAGGAATTTGTTAAAATAAAACAATCTATGAAATATATTAAAAAGTTGACTTTATTAAGATGTTCTCATAGAGTTGGTGTATTTATAATACTAGTTAGAAGTAATCATTTATGATAAACCAAATAAATAATGGTGAGAATTAGAAGGTATAAACCTTTTTTGTTGTACATGGTGAGGACATTATGGATGTCATAATAATTTGTTATTAAATTATCTCACACAAATAGAGACTTGAGGGAAGGAATTGAGATACGTTCATGACATGATTTTCTAGAATTCAATTAAGAACATTCAATGTACAACTATCTAAAAATTATATCTAGGAATAAGCAAGTCTCTAGGTAGTGATCTTTGAAGTTTGATGAAGTTATAAGCTTCCTTTAATTTTACTTAGAATATTTTAGATTTGCATATATTTGTTAAATGTTTGAAAAGAGCAGTCTTTTGTCTCTTATGCTCTATATTAATAGCTAGTTAATAGCTAGTAATTAAGAAAATGAGACAAAGTATTGGCAAGCATGCCACCTTGATATAAAATATTTTGCTAGACATGTTTTTTTTCAAAGATTACTATTCAATTTTAATGTCTATTGACATCCTTGATTTATCTCATGCAACCTATTTTTTAATTGAGTGTTTTAAAATTTGTTAAGGGGGTGTAAGGTTGCTTAAGTTTTAACATTCTCAAAATAAATACTGAGAACCATTTTGCATATAAAAAAGGTTTGTACACTTTCACTATAAATGACTTTAATGATGCTAAAATATTCATTAGTCTTTTATCTATGTTTTTGCTTTGAGTGCCTGGCCTTTGGTAAATACTTGTGAAATCCTTGCAATAAATTATTGGATAATCATTTTCTTATTTTGTAAAATTCTCGTATACCAAAAGGTACATGAGACCTAATGTTTGTTGTTGAAATTTGATTCTCCTTTACATTTGTGACTATGAGGATTTAGGAGATGCATCCTGTAACACCTTAATTTTTTTTTCAAACAATAAATAACTCAATCATAGTAGCAAAGTATCTACCAAGATAAACAGAAGTTAACAAATCCTTTTTTATTTTGAAACAATCTTGAAATACTAGCATTGTTGGAAAGGAACTTCCATGGTAAAAAATGACAAAACAAAGTTTTATAAAGAAAAAGTTACTTTTTTTAATCCTTCTAATTTTAACTTACTTGAAACTCAATCCCTTAAATATGACTCGATGCAATTCGATTCTTGAATTACATCGAGTTATACTTTAAGGTTTGAATTATAAGTGAGTTATAATTAGAGAGACAAAAAGATTAATTTTTCTTCTCATAAAATATTTCACCTCTTAAAATGGTTATCATGATAAAAAAAAATTAAGCTAGATAAGTAAGTACTAGCATGATAAATAGAATTAAATTCTTAAAATTATTATTTCGAAGATTTGAGATTCCAAGCATTATAAAACAAAATCAAGTGTGAAAGACTCATGAGATTCCATTTCAAATTGAGAAAATGACAAACAAAATATAATAGAAAAAATATAAATAGTTATACATTTTAAGCTCTTATAATCACCTATCAATGTTTCAAATAACACAACAATTTTTTTAATATTACTCATATACATCTACAACCACAGTTGGATTATAGCTATCCAATACAATTTATATGAATAAAACTAATGTAAAAAGCATATAATATTTGGCTTGTGTGCTTGCATAAAACAATCTCTTAAATAAATTTTAACCCCCATATGCCATTAGGCTAAAATTACATTTTCCTAAGCTTATGTTCCTAAGAAGTGC